ATATATATATATATATATATATATGTGGTCCCCTAGAACAATAATGCTGATTGTTACAAAACTTTTTTTTATCCTATTAATAACAGCTGGAAACAGGTGATTATATTTTGTTGCAGACCTTAATTTTGAATTTAAAAAAGAGGTATCTGTCCCATCCACCCAGACAACTTCGAATCATTGGGCCCCTGGACAGTTGGGGTAGTTCAAAAACTCCAATTATCACAGCCTATCACACTTAAGTTGCACACACACAATACAAATCTGTAATTTCAGGCCCTCTACACACACAACACATGATCACATACCACATAATGACAAGTCAACTACTGAAGCATGCATAACTCAGGGAGGACATAACTACTAGGTGGGTACCACTAAACAAACCAGAATATTTGAATAAATCTTCCTAGCCAACCAGGACTTGAACCAAGGACTTTTGGGTTCACAAAATGCTTCAAGACCAATACTCTACCAAAACAGCCACTAGGGTTTTAAGTGTCAAGCAGCAACTTGGCCTAGCACTTATATTAAGTACCAAAACAGCCACTAGGGTTTTAAGTGTCAAACAGCAACTTGACCTAGCACTTACATTAAGTACACTTAATGTGTTATTTTTTCACATAAATATGCTCCATATATTATGTAACGACACTAAGCACTCTTGGTTACCACTAGAGACCATGTGCTCCCTTCCTTATACTCTGTTTACAGATGAGACAGTTTTAAAAGTCTACTTACCTCTATTTAAAATAACTACATGCCATTCAGTTAGTGTCAATGAAAACATTCCACATCTGACAAAAACAACAACAGTGATTGTACAGCTAATAATTTAATTTGGATAAAATAACATGAAGTTGATATTTCTTGTCAGTGAGGCCATAAAAATATATTCTAGCTATTAAATAAACTAAAATTCTGAGTAAACCAACTTTTTAAAAATCATTGTTCTGTTAACCTATTTAGGAAACATTGACAGCATATGCCCGATATAAATAACTGTTAAGTCCCACAATTACATAACAAATTTTGATATTAAATACTATCAGTTTCAGGAAGCTTAGTTTCGAGTAACTTCAGTTTACTTACTACATGACAGCAGATTCAAGAATTATATGTCGTCTCTCATGTAACTAAGCTATACTAGAATTTCAAGAAAACATATGCTTGCCTGAAGTCAGATGAGAAACGCTGCAAGTCATAAGAATCCAGTAACTTTTCTTTACGAGCGTTCGCCTTGGCAGTCAACTGTGTCCATTCTTCATTGATCTCTTTTTGCTTTTCATAGATGGTTTCAGCTGAGTCAGGATGTGTCTGCATCAATCTACTGGCAGTTTCATCGAGCTGTTTGATCTAAACAGTTTATGATTGCTTTAAAATCTGATTTATTTGGAACATATTCTTGTATTGTTAAAGCTGGACATAGGAAATAGGTGTTTTTCACATTACTAAAATATTATATGTAAACATCTTTTATTCTTAAGTATTCAAAAATATAGACACCTAACTATTGTATAATTCTGACAAAAAATAATTATAAAATTCATATCAATTTTACACTCCTTCAGTGTTTGTAACTAAAACAACAAATTTTTTTTGGACAATATTTCACTGAGAGCATTAGCTACATATTGAAACACACTTTTTAGTAGTAAATGCAAAAGCTCCTTTTGTAAGCACTACAGCTAGAGGATATTTTTTTTCAAAACTTACAGGGTTATTGTTAATGAAGAAGAATATAAAATTAAGATCTATATTACCCTGTCTCCCAAAGCAGCTAAGTCCCTTTCTAAGCCTTCGTGCTTTCGTTGCAAAGTCTGAACATTCTGCAGGTCTTGTCCATATTCTTCAGTTTCCAAGGCTTCATCTTTTTCTTGTATCCAGTCTTTTGTTTCATCGACATCACGATGAAATCTCTGGACTTCATGAGCTGTTCCAAGCTGAGTTGCCCTCTCAGAGGTAACTTGTTGAAGATCTTGCCATTTGTGATTTAAGTCCTGCATTTGAGAAAAATTATCCTAATTTTACTACAGTGCTATGTATAAAAATCAACACCAGTTATTCTTTATAACAGAAAATGCTACTTATAACTGAAAAGAAAATAATTAAGGTATTTTGGCTGGGTTCTAGTTTGTTTTAATGAATTAAAAATAGAAAACAAAACATGAGTTGTTATACTACCGACACCAGCATGACTGATGAACTTTTCTACTTACAGACGTTGGAAAAATTTACCATCAGCTGTTTATGTAGCCCTTCACATTATATAAACTGTGTTCAACATGGTCAATTATTTTCTTAAGCCTAATTTTCCAGAGTATTTAAACATGCAAGTTCAACCAGATTAATGTGTTTCTTCCTTTAAAAGTCACAAGAATAATATTAATTAAAACCCTTCAATCGTATAAAAACTGAATTCAATCATAATTAAATTTCACATTGTTACCATATATTAAAGCTACCTAAAAAACAATATCTAACTTTCCAAGTATTTTAACAAGAGTGCTTCTCATAGCAGAATAGTAAAATAAAAATATGTATTTATCTATATATCTCACATCAAGTTGTGTCTGAATCTTCAAAGCTGCCTCTGTCTGTCCAAGGTTCATCAACTGGGTGGCAATTTCATTCATCTCAGCCAATCGTACTTCGTTAGCCTTAAGATCGTATTGGAAATCATCAAATTTCTTTTGAAGCACCTCTACTTGTTCTAAGTCTTCTCCAACCTCTTGAACTTTAGCAACTTGTTCCTGGAGAAAAATTATACAAACACGTTTATATAATACCAAAACTGAAGAAAAAATATTTGATTTTCTTTCCGAACCTTTTACCTATCTATACTTAAAAATGTAATCCATTTATGTAAAGTTTTAATCCAAAAGCATCATGAGTTGCTATCTTAACCTCGATCATAAGCACACAAACAAAATTAATAAGTAGATATGATATGCTCAAGGATACTTTAATAAAGCACAGTTTTATCTAGCATCCAGAGAAATGATTTTTGAGTAAAAATTTTAAATACATCTAAACAAGAAATAAAGTTAGCTACAAATAAAAATATTTTGGGGAAATTGTAATCTTCTTTTCTTTTAGAAATCCTGTTTTTTTGTGAGTTAGGCTTAAAATACCACATTTCATTACAGTAAAACTTGTAAAATACTATCTAGGCACACAACTATTAACTACTTATATTATTTATTTAGTTATGCACGCTAGGTTTAATCATTACAATGATGTACAATTCCCAATATGTCCATAAAAATTGTTTTAGAACCTTATGTCAATAAGTAAGATTTAAACTGTCCATTAGTTATTCATATACAGAACTGTAATAGTTTATGAAACTTCAAATTTGCCTTGTCTTTGATCCATTGAGCTAGCTCAGCAGCTTCTCGAACCAACTGGTAGGCTTTGCAAGTTTCCTCGAGTTTTCTACAGCGTTCTCTACCCAGAGATAGCAAGTTTTCATATTGAGTTTCAATTTGAGTTTGTCTTGTAGAAATACTGTTGGTATCAGCGAGATTTTGTTGACTTTCAGAGAGACCGGCTTCAATTTTTTTCACATAAGCAGCCGGCACAAATCCTTGCCGGTCATTAACTTCAACCTTCCACCAGTCCTAGAATAAATATAAAATTAATATTTAAAAAAAAATTATAAAGGGCGAGCATGTTTGGTGGGAGCTTATGCACATGTATTTCTTTCCTCGGTTGTTCTTCATTAACACTGAAGTGAAAGCTTCTTGAGTTTAAACACGTGGAGGATTTGGCGATGGCTTTCCTGAGGACCTTTGTAGTTTATTTCTTTTATATGCCTTTTTATTTACTTATGTACTAATTGTTTATAAAATGTATAAATGATTCAGTCAAGCAAACTGTGTATAAAATGTTTTAATGTTTTAACTTGTCATCTTACAAGAAAAATTTAGAAATTAAAACAAATAAGTATATTATAAAATTTCTGACAGAAGAAAGTGATCAGTGTTTTGGCCAAACAACTTTCATTAGGACTTTCAGATTTTTTTATGTTGTAGTTGTACTTGTGTGTATTATTTATGTTACTGTCATATAAAGAAAAGCTCTATGATTGTATAATTTCTTACGAAGTTGAAATAGACTAAAATCTTGAAGTTTTCATTTTTTTATTCTTTACTGTTTGTTGCGTAACAAACACTTGGATTACGTGTTTTTTTAGATGTACTTTAATCATGGCCTCGGCATGGTCAGGTGGTTAGGGAGCTCGACTCGCAATCTGCGGGTCACGAGTTCGAATCCCCATTTTTTGATTGTTTCTATAATTACTAGCCTGTATGTCTGATTTATTCTAAATAAAAACACCATTTTACGTGGAAAATAACATACCTTATTGTTACTATTCAAGAGCGTCAGCACATCTCCTTTCTTCATTGAAACCTCCCTTGGGCTTTTCTCTATATAGTCGTATAATGCCATCACAAACTCCTTACCAGCTTGATCTACCACAGGAGTTTCTTGTTGCTGTAACAAAGAATAACGTTCAGAGTGATACTGTATTTGTTATAACAAAACACAATTAGTGCGTGTTTTAATATCTAGCAACATCTCAATAAAATGTTTTGCTTCACTCTCGACAGCTTCCTAAGGCACTAGAGTACTACATAATCAGTAATTAAGAAGTTGTAATGTAAAAACTGGTAGTCAGTAAAATACTGAATCAACTTATATATATATAAAGCAAAGTTGTTTCTCCATCTGGTGTACTGACAACGCATGTTGTTGTTGTAAGGAACTGGCTGAACCAATTTCAATGAAATCTGGTGGATGAACTCCAAAGACCAAGCTAACATGGATAAGTAATTAGAAAAACACTACAGATAACAACAGTAAAAAAGATTGGCTCATGTCAAAGTAATTCTTTTTTCAGGGGCTTGCATCTGTATAGACAGTGGGAAAGATACAGTGTATTTTTACAGGTCAAGCTACTAACAACAATAACAAAATATAGATACAAGGAGCATGCAATACCAGTGTTCTGAATAATGTAAGTTTGGTAGAAAAACACAGATAGACAAAAGGATGTTGTTACACCAAATCTGAAGTCTTCAACCATTTAAAGAATGTCAATGAAGAGCAGTATTCTACAATGGAAAAAAAAGATGTTTGTGACTTGGATGTTACTTCAGACAACTTACCTACAAGTCTTCACATTTTTCTTGCAGTTGTTTTAACATTTTGAAAACAAACTGTCTATGTGAACCTTATGGTAATCACTGATAATCTATGGCTGAAGATATTCTACACAAGAACCAGCTAACACTGAATTACAATTCACATTTTTAATGAAGCTCTGACTGAACTGGGAGACGAAATTCTATATATTGGAGGTCATGAATTTAAGGTTTTTTTATTGTCAAAAGTAAGATATAGAAGTGATGAAAAAATTTCCTGGGAAATCTGAGGAAAACAAACTACATTGTGAACCAAATGGAATTCCATTAGCTTGATTTTCATTGTTTCAATAGCCCCACTTGTAGCCCTGAAAGAGGGAACTGATCTTTCGAAAAATGATTAAAGTGTAAAATCTTAACTTTGGATGAAGCATCAGTGACTACAAAATCAGCTTATGGAGTTTTACTTAAGGATATAAGAGAATCCAAGTTGTCAACTGGATGAGTCATGATATTATTATTTGCCAAATCTTATTTCTGGTCAGAAGCGATCCATGAGGAAACATTGTCAATACAATATTAAAAAATGTGTTATCTTTAGGAACATTTTGAAATTTAGAAACTGGCCACTGATATGAGAGTCCTTCTCAGAAAGATTCAACATCAAAGCTGAAACTTTTTCAGAATTATCATCAGAAGTTGGCGATGCAAAATCCAAAGTGCTGTCAGGATCTGATCACTTGTTTCAAGTGAAACATTTGTAAACACAAAAAAAAAGAAGAATTGAAAAACAAAGTAATTTCAGATCTAATAGTTCACACAAACCTCCAGCATGATTGTGAAAATATGCAGTTCTGGCCCCAGTAAGTGAAGTTGCAGACAAATCAACTGATTCTGTTGCTGACAAATATCAAGCAATTTTCTATCTGTTTGAGTTCCTGAATTTATTGAAATGGTCAGGAATACAGATCTAGACTGAACTACCAATTATGATTCTTGCCAAATGTTATTACATAAAATCTCACAAGGTCTGTACTTAGATCAAGAAATATTTATTCCAACACCTTCACTACAGCAAACAGATATAGACATTGCTGGAAACTTCCCATACATATTTGCTTCAGCATGAAGGTCAACAAATCACAATCATTCAAGGAAGTTAACCTTAATTTTCAACTTCATTATTTACTCATGGACAACACTACACTGAATTTTCCTGATTTTGAACTCTAAATTCATTTACAGCACTGGTTCATAACAAAAAAACAGAAATATTTATCACAAAGCTTTTAAAATGTGGTGGGTAAGGAAAGTAACAACACAAGGTATGGCACCTTGTGCCACACCTGTTAGGTAATCCATTGTTACAACTGATTAGTTTCACCTGTATATTGTATATTTTAGTTGTTTTCAGAAAATACAAACTCTCTTTGTCCAGTTATTTAGAAATCTTACACGACACGACTGTGCTTGATCCCTCAAGCCCGATATTGTGTTCCCGAAAGCTTCCAGATCTGCCATAAGTGCTTCTTGTTTCTTCAGGAGTGCCTACAGATAAAAAAAAAGCGAATAAATGGAGTAAGACAAAAAAATCAGTCAATGTAAGCCAACTTGAACAATTCATGTGCATGTACATTATGTAATATTTTCATTAACAAACCACAAAAGGTAATTAAAAATTATTGCTTATCAAAATATTACAAAACATTCAAACATATTATACCTTAGCAATCATATACTTTCAAAAATACTGAAAAAAAAATCTTGGTACATTTTAACAGTGTTGCTATAAAACAATGGTCACAAAGGAGGTTGAAAGTGATAAACTGTAGTGCTATAAGAAAACTTCTGGGAAGTTTATATATTGGCAAAGAAAGAAATGAGCTAATAAGGATAGTTCAGTTACAGACACTCTTGCGCAAAATTATAAGTACTCTGATGAACTAGGGATATGTATCATATATATATATATATATATATACATTGGACAGACATAAATAGTTTTATCTAAGACTAATTTAAATACTTCTCAGTGATTTCAGTTTCTATCCAACATGTAGAATATACTTAGCTATGCGATATACGTATACATAATATATATATATATATTTACTTGTACTTATGAGTTACATCATTATGAAGAAACCAATCAGCCAAAGCAATAAATCATGTCAAAATGAAAGTTTCTGAACATGTCGAGTGAAAGGAGAAATTTTTTCTCTCTGTTAAGAGCTGTATAAGTTACATTTCTTGTGACATTAAATGGCATAAGAAACAAAACCAGAAGAACAGAATGATAATTCCAGGGATTGTTGAAAATGAATTCATCTCCAGTTGTCAATCTTTAAAATACTTTGTTGTTCTGAGTCTTTGAATTTCTTTTGTTTTCTAGTTTCTTTGTTTATAATTCTCACATAAAATATTGGTAGTTCAGTGTACTAATAAGCTATTCAGTTACACTTAATAAAGTTAAATGCTTTAATTACGTATCAAGTTTATCATTTTAGCTTTACGCAGACACTTAACATTCTGATAACCCATTTTTATGTCATTATTAACAAATTGAGAGTTCAGTGAATTATTTAAATATAAAAAAAGAACACAATTTCTACTCGGAGTTTGGTGTACTAGCTATGTGAATACTTAACAGAATGTTTTTTCAGTAGTTTACTCCATGATTACAATTTTACATTGTTTCAAAGTTAGTTTAAAGTAAAATATTCAAATAAAATTGACTGACAAATTTTTATTTTGAAAAAAAAAAGACTAATCTTTAAGTTTAACTTCTACTTGACAATGATTTTGTTAGATAAATGGTGACTAGATGTCTCTTTGGATACACTTATGTACTGAGATGGTGTTTAACTCCCTAAGTAATGTTTAGTATGTTAGGAATTTTGCGCAAAGCTACACGAAGGCTATCTGCTCTAGCCATCCCTAATTTAGCAGTTTAAGACTAGAGGAAAGGCAGCTAGTCATTACCACCCACAGCCAAATCTTGGGCTACTCTTTTACCAATGAATAGTGGGATTGACCGTTACATTATAATGCCCCCAAGGCTGAAAGGGCGAGCATGTTTGGTTGGACGAGGATTCAAACACATGACCCGCAGATTGGGAGTCGAGCTCCCTAACCACCTGGCCATGCCGAGGCCCCTCTAAGTAATGATTAAAGTACATTTATTTAAAGTTCAAGGTAGATACTTAATTATTTTGTACAATGGTATGTTCTACTGTTAAATCTTTAGAATATAAAATGTAAAATAATTTCACAGTTCAGATTTTCTGGTACTCTGCTTCTGAATTTTTTTTTAGATGGTTTAAGAGTCTTTTAACTTTATATAAAGCTATTGATACTGTGAACTTGGCTCTTTACAATATGTTCAACTAGGTGGGATGCCATAGTATTTACTATTACTTTTTTTCAGGATGAAAGCATTTTCACAAACAAAGCAAAAGATTCAAGTGAAAATTATAATTATTAACTAGAAATCCCATGGCTCACATTTATCGGGATGCTATAATGCTAATTTAATGCTTAAAGTACTCTTTCAGTTTAATAATAATTGCAAATGTAATTTCTTTAACCAAGTTATGAATGGTAATTAATAGGCCTACTTATTTACGTGCTATAATGTAAATCAATGCCAAAGTTGGAGTCAGCTTCCTGGAATCCCCATAAAAGTGTTTTTGTTAAACACCTGGATACCCTAAAGGGTTGGGTGAAAAATTTTATCTTAGTGCAAACCTCGGGACTAAGACGATTCATTTAGAATTTGGTGCAACCAGTAGTTAAGGATGAGTTACGTGACACACGGAAGCTGAATCTTGTTATATAGAAGGAGTTGTGTGACACACACAGACATTGAATCTTATTATACAGATTATATCAAGGTCTACAAAACAATGAAAAATCTAAATAAAACATGAAAAAAATAGGAAAGTTAAACCAAAATTCAAGTTTTGCAAACATTTAGTTAAATTATATGCTAATAATATTTTGCTACACAGATGTTGTGTAACAATAGTTCAGCCTGTTTTAACTAAAAAGTAACTTCTGTCTAGTTTCCCAACTTATACATTTTATAGTGACATGCATGGTTGTCTTTAAGGCAGTTAAAGTTTACATATTTTTACCTCAGCAGAGTCCTCATCCTTTCCAAAGTCTTGATTTCCTGCAATGGGTTCTTTCTCTTTCATCCATGATTCAGCTTCGTTAGCATCAGCGAAGTACTGATGGGCTTGGAGGGAGTCATCCAGGTCTTCCTTTCGTTGCCGTGCCTTGTCCTTAGATGGAATTTAATTACATCTATTAGGTTTATTCATTTATTCATCAAGAGAACTTTCAAAGTGTTCAAATTTAATGATTAATGTAATAGAAATTATATGCATATCACATGAGCATTACTTTACTACTTGCATATAATCACAAAAAATGCAATATTTTACAAACAATAAAATTATATTAAGCCTATTTTATTACAGATGTTTTAAGCGTTAATTCTTATTTCCTAAAAGTGTCATGTGTGTGTGTATCTATGTTTTGTAGAGTATGAAAATATAAAACTAACCTTCAGCTGTTGCCATTTTTCATTCAGCTGATCCAACTTTTTGTGAATTTCATCAGTAGCAAAATGACCTACGAAAAATAACTAACATTACTGAACATAAAGAACAACATAATATATATATATATATATATATATTGAGAAAATAAGAGCATGGTCCTTTGGCATATTTCTCTATTTTTTTTTTACGTGAAAAGCTCAGTATGGGCTACCTGAGCTGTAATGTAAAGTTCTGTAATGACATGTTTAAGATTCATCAAGTACCAGTGAAACAGCTTCAAGATTTTCTCTAAACGTCAACCAGTGAAAATCTTTTTATAGTCTTTAAATATCTTTAAAATATTGTTATGAGAGCAGAAGTCACGTGACGCTGGTGGCACATTGGCACTGGTGTCGTGTGCGAGGAGATTCTCGAATGATCGTGAATTTCCTAGTTTGTTCGGGACGCCCTCTTTTTTTTTAGTATATAAGCCCGGCAAATAAAAGAAGAGATAGATATGCAGATAGATTGAAGATAGAGATAATTGAGTCAAGCGAACAGTAGACACCGTAAGTAAAGTGTGTGAATCACTGTGATTTATGTGTTATAAAAGTTGTTAAGTGTATTAGAAAAATAAGTGTAAAGAATAAACTAGTTTTAATTAAGAAAGGACTTGTATCGCTGAAGTTCCTCGAAAAGAATTTATACTGGAAATTAAGAAAATTATCAAATGAGCAGATACATAACAATATTGAGTAAGACTGTGGTGAAAAAATTTCTAACTGAATTACTTTGATTACCTTCTTTTATCATTTCTTTGCCATTAAAACTAAGTGAAGTACTTTGATTACCTTCTTTTATCATTTCTTTGCCATTAAAACTAAGTGAAGTACTTTGATTACCTTCTTTTATCATTTCTTTGCCATAAATATCTAAGTGAAGTACTTTATTACCTTCTTTTATAATTTCTTTGCCATAAATATCTAAGTGAAGTACTTTGATTACCTTCTTTTATCATTTCTTTGCCATTAAAACTAAGTGAAGTACTTTGATTACCTTCTTTATCATTTCTTTGCCATAAATATCTAAGTGAAGTACGAACCTTCTTTTATCATTTCTTCACCAACTTGGCATACAGCTCGAATTCTGTGTTCATGATTGTTGATTTCAGCTAGCACTGCCTGATGCTTTTTGATTAGGTTTTGTACACCAATCAGGTCTCGCCCTGAAGAAGAACAACAACAATAAAATCAACATTGTGCCATATAAAACAAAAATGAAAGACAATCATAGGTTTTACAGCCATTAAACAGTAACTAAAGCAATGTTCAAACTAAAAGTTATACCTTTAATTTTTTAATTATTTTTCTAACAAACAAACACACATAGAGACACAAGCAAAATACATAACCTTTCATGAAATTTTTTTAAATATCCTATAATTTAGTTCATGTTGAAATTGTCATGCATAAACATTTATCTTGAAAAAAATAGTTTTACTAATATACGTAGAAGTCATTTTTGACATTATACATCATTTTATACTTTTTTGTCCTTACATATCGAACAATTAAGTAATCACAAACATGGAATTAAATTCTTTCCACACAAACAGGTCATAATTAATATAAAAAGTACTAGAAATTAGTTTTCATATTACTACTATGTTTCAAAAGATGAAAATTAATGATCAAACAAGTTGCACTACATTAAAAATATTTTAATAACTGAATAAGAAAAAATAGCCCACAAAAATCTTAAATTCACAAATACATCTCTCAAATGACATGTATACAAACTTAAATAAGCAAAAGAAGACAAAAATTTAATATATTACACCAGTTAAGTTAATTTTTTTTTTTTTTAAGTATGAAAAACAAGTCCCTTAGTAGGACACTGGTAAGTTTCTGGACTTACAATGCTAAAATCTGGGGTTCAGTTACCAATGGTGGACAAAGAAAGAAAGAAATAAGCAAACAATTGCTCTAACCCCTATTTGTAGAAGCTGCAATTGGTTCTTTCTCTCGAATCCAAGCTTCTTCATCTTCAATGTCACGGAACAGTTGCTGTACCCAGAGAGAATCATTTAAACGTTGGCGTCTTGCAGACATTGGCTGTTGTAGGCCATTGTAACGCTCTACTATGGCAACTTGTTTCGATTTTATTGAGTCTGCATGGAAATGGCCTCGTTCAACAAACTGGTTAGCCTGGATTACAATCCCATCAATGCGATCCTAAAGATTTATTACAAATTTATCTTGAGGATCTTTTGTCATTTTTCAAAAACGAAAAATAAGAATTTTCACTTAATAATGTATAAATTGACATATGATTTCTGTTCTCAATCAAACATATTGTAGCAGTTAAAATGAAAAGTAACTCAAGATACTTTGTTGGAGGTGTTAGATTACCAATTCTTTTCACAAAAGGTTGATAACATTCATTAAAAGCCTTTTAATTCATTACTATGTTTTCAGCCAAGCATCTTTATGATTTAAACCCCACACCACTTATCTTTATACCTAACATTACACATAAGGCTGTACACACATGTATAGGCTGTAAAGGTATTAAAGCTGTGGTATATTCAGGTCAAATTGATTTACCTAAGAGCATTGGAATAAGTCTGCAGAATACCAGGAGATGCGACAAGATATCTACAGAAAGTAGTTCTGTATTGCTCCGAAACTTACCGAGTTCATGAGAATAAAACAAAGAGACTGGAAAAATGTAGAACACAACCAAATAATCTTTGTTATTTACACTAACATAGCTTGTATACTTATATCATTGACAACGGATGGTCCTTTTACTGGATCAGAGATAGGATCTATCTGACTGACCTGACCAAGATAATCTATCTACCAGACTGTTTAAACATAGCATTACTTACTTCAAATGTAATATCAGAGTTATTCAGAATGGCTAGCACAATCCACATGATTCTCATTCAAACTTAAAAGAAATTGTAATCTCAAGGCAAGATCTGACTTAACACTGGAAGGCACTACTGTCAACATCTTTGTACAATATGCAGCATTACAGCCATACCTCTTATGGACAGACTAAGTGTTACCTCGAGAGACTGACAAAGAACAAAGGCAACTAGGAACAAAAGCATCCTAACAGCTTTCTTGACCTCATATTATATGAAAACTATACATACATAGGTAGAAAAATATACATGGTATACTCATATATCACAAAAGCTCTAAATGCCACAAACTGACACTTTACAGCACTTCTCCTTTTAAGTTGTGGTAAAAAAGTACAAATCTCTGCCTATGATCAGTTTTAGTCTCTGACTCTGGAATTAAAGTGCAAAATAATGCAAGTTTGTAAATATTACCTAACTGTTTCCTTTAACCACTAAAACCAGAACTAAATCCTGTGTCTGTCTACACAATACATAAAACTCACGATTCACAAATGGTTATCAGTTTATAATAAGTTCAACTTAACAATTTTTAAATATTCTGCTATATAACAGAAATAAATCAAGTTGATTAAAAAATTTTGACAAAGTTTCCCATGAAAATATCTTAAAACTAAATGTAAGTTTGTCACTGAGTCGTATATATATCATATCATATATATATATAGTATATATAAGTTTATCACTGAGTCGTATATATATATATTAGAAAATTCTGCACGAAGAGATAAAAAAATATAAATACATAGAAACGTTTAGTTTGATAATTACAGAAACATGGAAATCAAATCTTTAATGGATGAAATTTCCAAATGTATCACAAAATAGCGTTCATCATTTGTACTCAATGTTAACAGACTTTATATTAATGGAAAAACAACACAAGTCTTACTTGGTGAGAACTAACATCAGCTTCCAGCAGAGCATGCTTCTTCAGAAGGTTCTGCACGCTAGTGAGATCCTGTTTAACATTTGACATAATTAGATTAAAAAACAAATTTATAAGGAAACCTTACGATTATGAAGACCGATTATGCTCCATTGGATTACCGTTGGAAAAATTATATTTACACAATGCAGTTTTCTGACAATACATAATTCAAAGGCAACTGATATACATACTTCCTTATTTACAATATTTAAATTGATTTATATATTTGTTTTACAACATAAATATGAATGTTTTTGTCTAAACTAACTATATATATATAAGTATGTATTATTTTGCATCTAACTAATCATTTTGTTTGTTTTTTAATTATGCACAAAGCTCCATAAGGGCTATCTGTGCTCTGCCCACCACGGGTATCAAAACCCGGTTTCTAGCATTGTAAGTCTGCAGACATACCGCTGTGCCACTGGGGGGCCCTAATCATTTTGAAATTAAATGTTTTCTATTAAAGTTAGATCATGAAGTAAAGTTTTAAGTTGGATTTAATATTTAGAACAAGGTGGACTGTGAAATGTGAGTAAGAGAGAGAAAAAAAAACTAACTTCATGTATCTACGTGCGAAAGATCACAGAAACGTACAACCAAAATAAAGTGTTTTATCACTGCAGATGTTTAAACAAATAAATTTACATTTTTAACTGATGCATAATGATTATTCACAGGTTTCCAGGTATGCTTTACTTTAATTACAATGATAAACAACAGCACTGAACCTAAATCTCCCATCAACTTACAGACTACAATTATAAGATAAAACAATACAACAGTTTAAATATTTCCATTTTTTATCTAAACAATAACAATATAAGTTTACAAACTTTGCCATTATCTTCTGACAGAAGTTGTCCTTCAATCTCAGACAACCAGATCTCTATGTCTTCAACTCCACGATTGAAGTGTTGTTCAGCTGAAGCTTCCTTCAGTTTTGTTCCTTTACTGGAAGTCGCTTCGGTTAATGACTCCCACAAGTCCACAATCTCACCCATTCTTTCACTGATAAAAATAAATATTCAAACTAAACACTTGCTAGAATATTTTATCAATTCCTCATGTAAGTAAGAGATATTTCAGGTTATTAATACACTGGTAAGGTATTAAAGTACAACATATTCAAACTAAACACTTGCTACAATATTTTATCAATTCCTCATGTAAGTAAGAGATATTTCAGGTTATTAATACACTGGTAAGGTATTAAAGTACAACATATTCAAACTAAACACTTGCTAGAATATTTTATCAATTCCTCATGTAAGTAAGAGATATTTCAGGTTAATAATACAACATACTGGTAAGGTATTAGAGCACATTTTAGGTCTTATTTCCAAAACGTGTTCATATTATGTCTCAACAATAATAAAAAAGTACACGTACTTTCCTTGATCCGAAAGGAAAATACAAATGTGTGATAAATACGAACAAATTTTTAATGCAACAGGAAAGTTAAGCTACTTTCATATATAGTGTGAGAACTAATATCATACACTTTTGTAGAGCAATTCTAGAAAAAAAATGTTCACGACAATTAAAATGCCAAGCTTTTTGGAAATCAGTTCAATTATGTATAGATATTGTTCTATATACAAAGAGAGAGTAAAATAAATGGAAGAAGAAATTTTACCTTATTAGAGTTTTTATTTGGCACGTAATCTATCAATCTATTCACGCAGGATTATTATGAAGTTAGTTGGCCTATTATAACAACCAAAATATGAAAAAAAATATTAACAGAGAGCAATATTATCTGGTAGATGAACTAACGAGATGATGGGAAAGATGACTGCAATAATGAGAATAATTATCACAGTTCATGTCCAGTACTGCTTTCAATCATGAGATAACGTGATATGCAGCTGAATGATACTGTGACGTTTAGTTGGTGTCATTTGATATCTTCAAGGTAATGAATATGTAATGGAAAATCAATGACTTAAGAAGATCTCATAGCCAAAAATTATATATACATATAAATCAACAAAGGTAATATCTGGAGACTGTGTTGATTGCTCAATCTCTCAAAGAATGTCCCAGCAATGTCTTGACAGTCCACGCAATGTGTAGTGGGGTACCATCTTCCATGGAGATTCTTTTATTCAAAATTCCTCTTCCCTCAATAGAAGGAATGATGACACATTCATCATCATAAATCAGTTGTCTGTGAGTTTCTCATAGAAATCAAACAAAATAATGAATTTGTTTCTAAATCAACTCCTCACTGGACCTTCTCATAACCATTCACACAAGCAATGATCTGCTCTTGAATCAAATCCACACTGGACCTTCTCATAACCATTCACACAAGCATGAATCTGCTCTTGAATAAAATCCACACTAGACCTTCTCATAA